ATCAACACTGTTCACCAACAGTCTAGTCTTAACTTTGCTTAAAGCTTGTAGGAGGAGTTTTCATTTTTCTCTGATTGTCCTATGAGGCTGCATAACTCCTGACCCTCTGTCTGGATAGTGCTGATTGATCACATGCAGTCTCCCAAGAAAAAAACAAACAAACTCTCTAGCAGTACACACCAAACTGAGCATGTGCAGCTTGCCCCCAGGGCTCTGTTCTATCAGCAGATGGATACGTGGCAGTAGAAGAAGAGGAGGATCAGAGAAGACAGGATCGAACATCATTTTTACACAATGTGGAGGATTAACCCCTTAGGTTCCACATTGAGTATAACAAGAATTGTTTACTGCATATACGGACTGATTTTACTGTTGTGGATTTAGTAACACTAAGTACATGGAAAACCCATAGTGGCTTTTGTACATAACTTTATTAATGGAAATTCCCAAGTACAGTCAATAAATGTTTGCAAATAAATTAAACATTTGCTCTTTTCCATTTTCAAAAATTATAAATGGCAGCAGATTTGTAGTGAAATCCCTGTTCTGACTATCTTTAAAAACTCTGGCTTTTTTGTTGTGTGTGTGTGTGTGTGTGTGTGTGTGTGTGTGTGTGTGGGTTGGGGGGGGGGGGGTTTGTATTAGGAGGAGCAAGACATTTTTACTTCAGGAAATAATTATTTGAACCCCGCTAAACTACTGTATATGCACTGTATATGTTATCCATTCCTGACCCCCTGCTGTGCATTATCCACTCGCGACCCATACTATTCACATAGCCACTGGGGCACTAGGGATGTTCTGTGGGGAAGGCAAAGAGGGGCTATCCTTTTTAGGGTGGAAGTGAGGGGTTTATTCACTTTCTTACACTAACTTGTGGGGCATATTTTCTTCCACTGACCAGAAGTAAGGGGCACAATATTACTTGTCACTGCTCTCTGTATACAGTCCTAACCCCAGACTATATATACAATGTTGAATGTTGTTCTCCTGACCCCTGCACTGTGTACACAACATTGTACACAGGGGCGGACTGACAACTGGTCCCCGGGCAGTAGGGGATCATGGGGCCCCTATGTCTTTGCCCAAACTCAAAAAAGTCTATGAAAAAGGTACCAGGGGCATCTCATGGGGCCCCCTACTGACCCATGGCCGTCGGGCAGTGCCCGAGTTTCCAAATGGTCAGTCCGCCCCTGATTGTACATTATATTCCTGACCCCTTCACTGTTTATGGAATGCTGTACCTCATGCTCCTGAACCCTGTCCTGCGTTCCTCATGTTGTACATTATACTCATGGCCCCTGCATTGCATTCATTATGCTGTACATTGCATTTGCTATGTTTGCCATTATTTCTGCATTCACTATTCACTTATATGTCAAATTGTATATTATTTTCCTGACCCCTACACCGTACATGCAATTTTGTATATTATACTCCTGACCTCTGCACAGGCATCTCTAGAAATGTTTTGGAAATGCTAGTAGCTTTGCTCACATACCCCATTCCTTATAGGTCCAATTCAAGGAGGATGAAGTATGATACCCAGCTCCAAAGAAGTGAGAACAGGGAACAACCATGATCACTAAAATATGATTGTTCAGATTCTCTCAGATTATATGTTGTAAGGGATTAAAGACAGGTTGCAACAGTCAAATATCACTCAGTGGGGTGCAGCTCTTTTCACAAGCCTTTAAGTGGACCAATAAAATTACAAAAATGCATTGCCTAACATTACCTTTAACTAACGTGCTTGGGGTGGTGCCTTGAATCTGAACATGAAGTGGAACATCTGTAGGATGTACTATAGCAAGAGTGATACTTGGAAAGAAAAAGAAAATATTTTAAAATTACATTTTCCTGTGGGCCTGTACAAATGCCCCCCAAAAAAATTAAATATATTTCACCTGGAGCATGCTCATATCCAGGATCTCTGCATAGCCTCTCCCATACTTTGGAATTCCCTACTCAAATCTCTGTGGCTATCTCCTACTCTGTCCACCTTTAGGCAATCCCTGAAAACTCATCTTTCCATGGAAGTCTTTCTCACCTCCAACAAACAACTGAACTTTTATTTTCTCCATCAGCTCCTCCTTCATAGTTATTACATTTTGTACCACCTGATCCTCCTTATTAGATTGTAAGTTCTCATAAGCAGGACCTTTCTACCCCTCTTGTTTTGAATTGTACTATAGCCATACTGTTTCCCTTTATATTGTAAAGTGCTGGTGTCATAAAAATCCTTTAAATATTAAAATAATAATAATAGTAATAATAATAATAATAATTAAAGACATAACCTTTTTTGTTTGGTTTGAATACAGTGATGATTAGTTAGAACCACTGTCAGGTTTCTTCCCTGTCTGTGCCCCTTCTAGGGAGCTATGCTATTTCTAACTACCCTTATCACCAGTGTAACCAGGAATAAAAGTGAAGGTGGGATCAAAGATGTGCGTTGCCACCAAAACAGGAATAGAGAGTAAACTATTTTCCAATAGGAATGTTATTTTTTTTTCACTTTCCCACCAATCCATTCAGCAACTACTGAAATCCTAGTTTACACAAGCCTGTGCTGTACTGCTGTTATGTAGAGGGAATCACCTGACCCAAAAGTAGTAAGTATTTTATGTTGGTTTCATGTATTAGAGAGATCAATATGAGAGTGAAAGTAAAGTAGGTATATCCTTGAGAGAATCAGGGGATAAAATAATATCTATATTTGAGATTGCATTAAAGTGACCCTGTCACCACAGGGTCACTTCCATAAAAAGACCAGCTATGGAAAGAAAAGGCACTATACTTACCTTCTCTGTAGTCTGTGTTTTGCAATTCTGCTTTTTTACTGCTAGTCCCACTGCACACATTTTTTTCTCCTGTTGGCTCATACATCATTACAGAATGTATGTGGGCAGAAGAAGTCATTACAGGGAAACAAGTTTTCACTCCATCCAACTGGTTGGGTACCTGCTTGCCCATCAGTTAACCAGTGCTGCCCATCAGTGCCACCAAACAGTGCCCATCAGTGCCGCCTATCAATGCCCATCAGTGCCACCTAACAGTCCCATCAGTGCCATCTAACTGTGCCGTCTAACAGTGCCCATCAGTGTTGCCCATCAGTTCCGCCTAGCAGTGACCATCAGTGCAGCCCATCAGTGACCCCTCATCAGTGCAGCCTATCAGTGCCCATCAGTGAAGGAGAAAAATTACTTATTTACAAAACTTTATAACAGAAACTAAGAAAACTTTTTTTCAAAATTTATGGTCTTTTTTAGTTTGTATAGCAAAAAATTAAAACCCCAGTGGTGAAGAAATACCACCAAAAGAAAGCTCTATTTGTCTCAAAAAAATGATAAAAATTTAGTTTGGGTACAGTGACCGTGCAATTGTCATTCAAAGTATGAGAGCGCTGAGAGTTGAAAATTGGTCTGGGCAGGAAGGGGGTAAAAGTGCCCAGTAGTCAAGTGATTAAATACGTGCCTAGGCACCAATTTTGGAGACTATAGCAGATCTGGAATTGTTGTTGGCACCGGTCATAGCATAGCTGTCATGTAGATATCAAAGGAGGGCTGGGGAAAGCAAAATAATAGGAGGATCTAAGAAGTCAAACAGTTTTCATCACATGTCTTTCTATGTCACTGTAGCAAATGGAGCCCCTTTTTGTGTATTTTTGCAACAATTTAGTGCACTATAAAAATACATGTTTTAGCAATAAGTTATTATGGTTTTATATATTGTTATACGAGGTAGCGTGGGAATGACCACCAGCCAGTTTGGTAAAAGCAAAAATAGTTCATTTATTTGGTTCATCAAAAACAAAAGTCAGCTTACTTCAGCAAAAGTCTATAAACAGTCCCCAAAGCTGGTTTCAGAAGCTAAATCATAAGCTCACCACAATCTTCGGTCCCATGCAAGGGGTTAGGCTCCTCCATAACAAGGGTTCCAGGCAGGCCACATTGGGGGTTCGAGCAAAACAAACAGAGGGTGCACCGGCCTAGTGCATTACCTTAAAAATATGTTTATTAAATGTTAAAAGTAGGTATTGTACTCACAAATTATCAATAAAGTCAAAGGCACATTGTGAAGGAACAGCTCTGTTCAATTCTCACTACATATCTGTCCGTAATGGAAACTCTGGACATCCAACAGGCTGACGCATTTTGAGGACTAGCCTCTCCCTCAGAGCCAACTGATCAAATGTCTGACCCTCTCTTATATATGCTCACTAATGAATCATCAAAGGTTACATATTGGCTGTCCTGAACACTCCCAAGGGTGGGGAAAAGTGTCATAAAAAATGCTAGCATAATGAAAACAAACAACAGAAATGAAAAACCTCAAAATAGAAATTTCCTTATCTGGATGGGTGGAAGCAACATAAAGTATAGTATGCATGAGTGACCATAAAAATAAAAATAATATACTGTTTTTCCAATGTGCTATTGCATTGCTTATGTAAATGTTAGAGTATCATAGTATTGTAGTATTAGAGTATTGCAGTATTAGTTGTAGTAATAGTTGTGTTGGAGCCCAAGTGATAGGGTATTCATGTGGCTAACTGATGAATGTAATACACATACGGAGTCATTATACACTGGACAAGATCATCACCGAGTACACGCTGTGAATAGTGAATCAGAGTGAGATAAGATCAATATTGTGAGCAGTGGTGCCACTGGGAACTGCATTCAGTATAGTGGATGGCTGCTGGAACGCACGACCACATGTACAGATCGTGGATATCCGGGCTAGTGCTCTTCAGCAGGAGGAAGGACTGCCCACCTGTCAGGCTGTAATCTGGAAGCGCACCGATGCATGCACTCCACCAGGGGCCAGAATGTATGTGAGATTCAGTGATGTGGCCAGGGGATTTTGGGGATCAACAGCCCATGTCTTAGTTTGTCCGAGAGCTTCCATTTGCCTCACAGTCTGTGAGTCTCTCTCTCTCTCTCCACTTCCTTGACACACCTGCCAATTTCCCTCTGCTGCCATTTAAGCCCCCTTCACCTGGGATTTAACCCTCTTGGGACCAAAGTCCTGGTAGTTTCTGCAATGGTCTCCCGTAAAGAGACCACACCACAAATATGGGGGAAAATCTTGTTATGTTTGGCAGCTTTTAGAGTTTCAACCATGGCTTCAAATAAATTGGCACATTGGTCATCATTAAATAATACACCAATTTTTACTTTCCGTTTCCCATCCTTGTCTCTTGTGCCAAGACGGTGGATCTGCTCCACCAAGAGACTAACTTCATGGTCTACATTCATTATCAATCCAGTAAGTTTGCTCCTCTGATCTTTAGGTGGTTTCAGCAACAGGAAGCCCAGACAACCTGAACTGGCTGCAGATCCATTGAAGAAAGCAAAGGAGGAAGATATCCAGGACAAACTCCCAGTTTCCTGTACAATATTCACTGTGAAGTTGTGTGATTTCAAAAACATGCAGCATGTGGCTTGTACAATATTTAACCACGTAACTCCACAGTGATGTAAAATAGCTTTAGAAAATAGGGGAAATCTATCTTGTTTCGTTTTTGTAACTGCCCTTACACACCATGTTAACATGAAAAACCATTAATCCAATTTTATTACTAGTATCAATATAATCACACTCTATGAGGGTTAAGGAGCATCACCCTTTATTACAATGTTTAAGTAGAAAGTTTGGTGTGCATGTCATATGACATGAGTGTCACTTAACAGAACACATTTTAGGACAAGGCATCACATCTCTTATGCCTAAAATAAGCACTCTTGCATAATAGATATTTTCTTTTCAATAAAATTGAGATGGCAGCCTGTACTTGACATGTTTCTAAAAGCACTTTGAAAGTTTGACACATCTGAACTGAAACAGAACCATTTAGTTTGTAGAAGATAAAGTAACAGTTTAATATGTGATATAACTTACTAGTCAAGACTTAACTACAGAATAACTCTACTCTTACAGCAACATCATTGTTGAGATCACTAAATGAATCAATTAACACATTTAACCTAGACACCTAAACACCCATTAGTAGGGTTACACCGATACCGGTATCGGTGCCGATACTGAGCATTTACAGTATTGGTACTTGTGCAAATACTCCGATACTAAAAACCGATACCTTTAGGTTCGGTTCTTTCAGCTGTCAGTGGAATTCCCCCGATGACAGTGGATATGTAAACAAAGTGTTTCGGCAATTATGGGTGGTTAAAGAGGGGGCTGCCCCATCCTTAACAACCAATGACATTTCAGCTGTCAGCAGGATTCCCCTGCTGACAGCTGAAATGTCAAAAAAGATACGCCGGCAATACAGTGTCATTGCTACAGGGGGGGCAAGGCAGGTCAATCCGCTTGTCAAAACTATTGGTTGATAGGCCCGCCTAGCATCCTAACAACCAATCAGGTGCTTAAAGGACTCGGGATTCAGAAGAGGACATGGCTGCTGATGTGAGTGAGAGTTCAGGGGGGAAACTGAGCAGATCTGACTGGCTGGGTCTGGGTCCTGCCACACCAGCATACAGTGAGAGGGGTTCAGGGGAGGGAAGGAGGGATCATACTTAACAGGTGGGGAGGGAACAGGGATTTTAAGAGGGAGTACATTCTCCCCCAGTTCCTAGAGCTGTGTAAACTGATCTGCAACATCACCCCCTCCTTAGAGATGTGGAGGGCGGGAGACCTCTATCGCCACACCATCCACAGTATCTGTAATATGTCTGTAGTCTCTGACCAACTTCTGTAATATGTCTGCAATCTCTGACCATCTCCTGTACTATGTTTGCAGTCTCTGACCATCTCCTGTATTATGCCTGCAGTCTCTGACCATCTCCTGTAGTCTCTGACCATCTCCTGTAGTCTCTGACCATTTCCTGTACTACGTCAGCAGTCTCTGACTATCTCCTGTAGTATGTCTACAGTCTATGATCATGTCTTGTATATGTGTAATATAGGGAGCATGTGAGTGTTGTGAGTTACCCATGGCTCTTCTGGCTCTCTTCCCCACCCTGCTGATATCACCATACTAGGGACATAATTTGTTCTAGGAAAAGGGGAGAATGGGAACTTTACAACCAACAGACAACTGAACTCTGCTTCACATAGTACACTTTAGGGCTTGTTTACACCAAGTGAAGTGGGGTAACATGCAAAATTGCATGTTGTCACATATTGCACCACCCCTTTACCTACTCATCATAGGCAATAGGTATTGATAATCGGTATCGAAGAGTACTTTGAAAAAAGTATTGGTACTCATGCTCTGTGTTAAAAAATAGTATCAGTTTATCACTACCTTTTAGGGAGGTATACATTCACTATGGAGTTGTGTGGCCTTCTGAATGCATGCAATATGGAGAGGTATTGGTAATCGATATCGAAGAGTACTTTGAAAAAAGTATTGGTACTCATGCTTAGTATTAAAAAAATGGTATTGGTTTATCCCTACCTATTAGGGAGGTATACATTCACTGTGGAGTTGTGTGGCTGTCATGTACCTGGATATGGAGCCTGATGTGGAGAGGAGGCGTCCTCTTACTACTCCTGCTCGGAGCCCCTGATAGTGGGAACAGAGGGCACAGAGCCAGAAGTGGCACGAGTGCCGGGTAGATCTGGAGCTGGCGGCAGGTAGGTGGAGACCCAGGAGATCCGGATGCAGGCCCAGTGTGAATGCAGGAACATATGTGCAGCAGCAGACAGGTATGGCGGCAATCAGGATGCAGACTTGGACTAGACACAGGAGCGTGGATGCGGCAGCAGGCAGGTATGGGCGGTGACCAGGATGCAGGCCAGGTGCAGGACCATGGGTGCAGCAGCAGGTAAGTATGGCGGTGACCGGGATGTAGGCCAGGTGCAGCAGCAGGTAAGTATGGCGGTGACCGGGATGCAGGCCAGGTGCAGGATCGTGGGTGCAGCAGCAGGTAAGTATGGTGGTGACCACGGTGCAGGCCAGGTGCAGGACCATGGGTGCAGCAGCAGGTAAGTATGGCAGCAATCAGGATACAAGCTAGGTGCAGATACAGGAAGGTAAGTGCAGCATAGTTAGACAAGCCGGGTCAGGATCAAACAAGCAAATCAAGTACAAGGGAGCAGGCAAGCAGATAGTCAGGGATAGCAGGGTCGGTGCAGCCAGGGTTCTTTCTTAGTCAGGGTCAGATCAGATACAGGCAACAGAATCAGGTTATGGAGTGCAGGACGTTATAGACCAGAAGGCATTGATCACTCTGTATTGCAGGTTTAAATAGCCCGCCTTGCAATGACGTGTACGCTACTGCGCATGCACGCACTTGCACGCTCCTGCGCACCCCCGCATGCTCACGAGCATGCGCACTCACACAGCCACAATCTGAGGGGATCCGTCGCCATCGCACAGCGGCAGGATCCCTGACAGTGGCCTTCTGAATGCATGCAATATAGAGAGGCTCTCTTTTTTTAATTCTGCAGAATAAATTTGACGCACACTAATATCTATGTTTATGAGTGATGGCAGTCTTGAGTGCCATTCTGCCCATAATTGAAGGGGATTTGGAAGCCCTGAACAATTTGTTTGAGCGCTTTGTTACCATTCTTTTAAGTAAGGTGGTCATGGGGTAAGAAACCATCTATATATTGCCTTGGGTGTATTCCTTGGTTCATGGTGACACAACGATACAAATGACTAGAGAAGAAGTTTGTTTCCAATATTATTCACACTTTCTATATGGAACTTTTTTGGATTTTTGTTCACTTTTGGCACATTTTATTATTGTTTGGGCATGTGATAATTTTTTGTATGTTATTGTATTTGTTATTTAGAGCGCAACACAGTGTATTATAATTCTTATAGGTTATGTGGGATATTATCTTGTGTGTGCAGCTTTTTTAGTTGTTTTTATAGCACTAGAGTGCAGTTTTATTCTTAGATATTAGATTTACACCAATGCAGACCTTCCTGAAAAGTCCACTTTATTGAAAGTTGCATATTTGAAAATATTAACAAAAAAATGTTTGGAACTCCATTAGAGCCTGCATGAGACTTTATTTATTGGGTTTGGAACTATTTTAACTTTCTAAAGTCCCAGAGTCTTAGAGGCATAGCAGGACACAATAAATAACACATAAATAGCTCTACAGAGAGGGCCAGTCTTCTTATAAACTAGCAGTGAGGTGAAATAAACATTCAGAAGCAAATATTACTTATCTGAGTTATATAAAGGAGATATCAATAAAATACTGTATGTAGGGAAAGGACAGCGGGGTTGGGTGCAATGTGTTAACTGCACTTACCTTAATGCTGTCCTTTCTCTGAAAACTGTGTTCAGAACACAAGGATATTCAATGCTTCTGGTCTGTGCTCTCTGTACTTTATGCTCTGATATTTTATGATTAACATTAGTCTCTGCAAATGTTAACCCCATATTCTTATATTTTCATTTATAGCAAGGATTCTATTCATGAAAAACCAAGATAGTAGAAAGTGCACAGGCCAGATGCATTAAGCTAATGGGGCCGTTGTTCTGCACAATTTTAAAAGATTTGTATCTAGGAAAGGACAGCACAAAGATAAGTGTAATGAATGCATTACACTTATCACCTGCCGCCCATTCCCTATATATAAAGGGATCTCATTTAAAGGCAAAAATCTCAATGCAGTACATACAGATTGCTAAGGTGTGCCATGTGCAGTTTCCTCTTATATGTATTTGAATAAAATTCCCAGTGTCATTGAAATAATAGAATAAACTGACAATGAGAGTAGCTGCAATGTGTCATGGACATAACTATAGTGGTGTATCACACATGCATCTTTGCTGCATGGTTTATGTGTTTAAATTTGATCTGACATAAGATATAATTTTTTACATGTGAAGTGAATGTATGCTAACTAATGTGTAAGTAAGTGTCAGGTGTCCATATAGCTTTATTCTTGATCATGAATTGACAATAGTTTGACAAGCAGTATTCATCTTGCTTCCCATGCCAAGCATCCCTCTTCATCAGGGCTTTATTTGCCAGAATGCCTATATGGACTATAGTATACGCTACTTGAAGGAGATCTTGTTCAGAAGATAGGTATTTACAATAGCATAGTGGCTATGTAAGGAAAATGCAGGCATTCTGTCAGGCTCCGCCCAACGGGATCTCTAGTGGTCCACAGAACAGGATTTTCCAGGACGCGGAGTCTAAGTCCCAGTCTGCCTTTTCACCAGAGCCCCTTGATGGTGGGGATGGACTTGGTGCAAGACTGGAAACAGGTCACGCCCCTGGGCGCACCCATCTATGGTAGAGGGGTCCCGCTGAGGGTATG